TTTGGCCTCCTCTTTTTAGCCAAGCCTATTGGGCAAACCCAGCCATTGGAGTGACTGTTTCCCTTTTGGCTTTTTCCATTAGTTGAAGCCCAGAATTTATTTATGTATTTAGCATTACATTTATATACTGCTTATTGCATTGTTCAAGTGACCCTTGGAGCAGGTACTGGGCCGTGGCCTGTTCAGAACCGGACTGTGTACTGCTTGTTCAGAACCATCTCTCTCACACACACAAACACACACACACCACCGCCACTGCTGCCAGTCCACAAAGCCGGAAAGGCTGCCTTAGAGCAGGGGACTCCAACCTTGGCAACTTTAAGACTTGTGGACAAAGCTGGCTGAGGAATTCTGGAAGTTGAAGTCCACAAGTCCTAAAATGGCCAAGGTTGGAGACCCCTGCCTTAGAGAACAAGTACATAGTTCTGACTTGTTAACACTGCCGGAGCGATAAAGACTGATAATGTTCTGACCCAAACCTTGTTCCAAGGAAACAAACACGAAACAGAGGTAACAGCAAAACCTTTTAATGATTCTTGACGAATTCCGCTCCTTCCCGGTTAAAAGACTGTTTCAAGCTAATTGTCTTTGATAAGAACGAGCCATCCCAAGGTTGTGCAAGGCTGCCAAAAACACTAGATAAAGTTGCCAAGAAATAGTTCAAGCACAAAGATTCTCCAAACACCAACCAAGATACTCTGAACGTCCACAAGGCTTAAGTGCAAAAACTTCTTTGCTTCCTGCAAAGAACTCCGGTTTCTCCGCTGGCTTTTATCCCTTAAGGGAGGGGCCACCACCTTGCAGCCTTACCCCCGAGTCGCCCGTGCTGCTGCAGCTGCTCTTTCCTTCGAGCAGCCCTGCACACATGCACACTGAGCACAGGCTCCTCGGGGGCCTCTTCCTCACTGCTGCCAGCCCCCACAATCTCCAAAGGCAGCATTCCACTCCCTGATGGTGTTGGCCCCATCCCTGCCTCACACGCAGGCCCCTCATCTGAGTCCTCGCTCTCCGAGACCTCAGCCATCCACACCTGCTGCCGGTGAACCGCAACAGATAAAGGGAGAATTCACAACTTGCAGGGGGTGGGAGGAGAGGAGGCAGATGTTCTTAGTAGCCATTTCCAAACTGATAGGAAGGGGACCCAGAAAATGGCCTAGCTAAACCCAAAGGTGCTTTTTCCAGGAGGCCACTGGAGTTTCTTATTCTGATTTTTCTTTGAAGACTTTTCTCTTCTCATCCAAGAAGCTTCTTCAGCTCTGCCTGGTTGAGGGGGAATGGAAGGATTTATACTCCTTGCAGGCAGCTGGTCGTTTGCATCCTTTTAGAGGGTCGTTGAGGCCCCTTGGAGGTTTATCTGTGTCCTCAGGGTCACCTGAGTGGTGCAAATGGAGGTGGAGCCTTCTTAGCTCTCTTCAAGGTAAAACAAAGGAAGTCCAGCTGCCTCCTGGAAAAACACCTTCGGGACAACCATGACCTGAACGACTGAGAATCTCCATAGACCTTCGGCCTGGCTGAACCGTCTCTCCGTCTGCTTTTCAGGACTCAGCCCAGCTTGGTTTCTGCAGCACGTCATTGTCAGGGACTTGCAGACCTACAAGAGCTACCACTTCTTGGTGAACGACTGGCTGTCGGTGGACAGCCTGGAGAACGACGGCCTGGTGGAGAAGGAGGTCTTTGCTGCCAGTGAGTGGGACAGCGTGAGCCGGCCCTGGGTGCCCCTTGGAGCCTCTGCTGTGTCACTGCTTTGCCCCAGTTGGGGAGCTCAACCGTGGGGGTGGCTGCCTGAATAGAGAAAAGGTCCGCACCCCCACGTTGCCTGCCCTCTGGGTTCATAGACTTCGTTTCATCTTTCTGAAGTTTTAATTCTTTTGGGTTACCTTTTTAATCATGCTGTAAAGCCACCCCAAGTAGCTGTAACAGTGAGATGGGCAGTATGTGTACATTGAGATGGATGGATGGATGGATAGTGCAGTGATCTAGAGGTGGAGCTCTTGCCTCACGATCTGAGTTTGATCCTAGGTAATGGCAGATATTTCTCTCTCTGAGCACAATCAGCTGTGAATTCTCCACTTGTGACAGGAAGGGCATCCGGCCAGTAAACACTCAGCTCCATTCAGTTGCCCCAACTCCATCCTGAGGCAAGGGATTACAGGGTCATTAAAAGACCAAAAAAAATGGATGGGTGGGTGGAAGGAAGGAAAGGAAGGAAGGAAGGAAGGAAGGAAGGAAGGAAGGAAGGAAGGAAGGAAGGAAGGAAGGAAGGAAGGAAGGAAAAGAAAGAAAAAAAAACCTGGCTCAGCAGAAGAGGAAGGAGGATCCAGAAGGAGGGAGTCTGAGGGAGCTAATAGCCATGCTTGACTTGAGTCTTCCCAGCAAGACAAAATGGCTGCCCCAGATCAGATGCCCCTTTTGTGGGAAGGGAAACGCTGATCGTGAAAGTGCAACACTCTTGAAGATGAGCACAACTGATCTTCTCAAAGAGATTCCCCTTCCGCTCCCTCAGGTGGAGTGGAATGAGGACAAGCCCACGCCAGTCTCCTCCAGCGGATTCCCATTCTTGTGGACAGTGTAGCCCCTTAAGGCACGGGGAACAGGAGGAGAAGCGCCTCTGCCGCTTCACGCTTTACCTCAGGGGTGGGGAACGATGGCCCTTTCTATGACTTGCGGACTTCAACTCCCTGAATTCCTGAGCCAGCCGTGCTCTACAGTAGTGGTCACCAACCAGTGGGCTGGGGACCACTGGTGGTCTGCGAGAAAATGTTGGTGGTCCGCAGAGAAATGTCACCCCCAAAGCAATTAAACCAGGCTGCATGGGAACACAAGGCTATGCTGCCCACAAGGTCCAAAGGAACACAAGGCTTGTGTCGCTTGCATTACGAACAACACCAGATAGTGAGAGGAGGGGGGAAAGGGCGGGGGGGGGGGAACTTGCCCCATGTGCTCCATGCGCCTGGCCTGGCCACCAGGCTGCTTCTTTCCGCTTCTTTCTTCTTCTGCTTTTGGCTGCACGCAAGGAAAGCAGCAAAAGTCTTTCTTGCTCTCCCCCAAACTCCGCCAGAAATTAGTCTTTGTACCCAAGAGGCATCGTGCTCCAAGTGGCTGCACTGGCAAAGATTCATTTCTGGTGGAATTTGGGGGAGAGAAAGAAAGGCTTCTGCGGCTTCTGCTGCTTTCCTTACATGAAGCCAAAAGTCTCTCTCTGTCTCTCTCCCTCTGAGAACGGAGCTGGAGACAGCATCCTGCGATCCCAAATAAAGAATGATCGATCGGTAGGAAAACGGGGTGGGGGGATTTTCCTGTAGACTTCTTTGGGGATTTTCTCAGGGTCTCTGGTCTGCGGGATCTAAAATTATGAGTTTGGTGGTCTCTGAGGTCCAAAAGGTTGGCGACGCCTCCCTGCAGGTTCCGCCCATTTCTTTTTCTCTGCAGGTGAGGCAGACCTGAGGAGCTGCTTCCGGATCTTCGTTGGCGAGCTGCAGCGGGGTTTCTTTGAGAGGCACGTCTGGCTCTCCCTGTGGGACCGGCCCCCTCGCAGTCGCTTCACCCGGGTCCAGAGAGCATCGTGCTGCTGCCTCCTCATCTTCCTCTTCCTCTGTGCCAATGCCGTGTGGTACGGGGTGGTGGCAGATGCCAACTTCAGGTGAGCCACCAGCAGCGGACGTGCTCCAAGTGCCCGTGAACTGCCCCACCTCCGCTGAAAGAAGAGCCTTCCAGAGCCTCTGCACAAGATTGAATGAAAGAGGGAAGAATAAAGGCCCAGAAATGTCAGCTCCGATTTTGTTCTTCCTCTTCAGAATTCAGATTAACTCCCCCTGGTTTCTAAAGGAGCGACTTTCCCACGCTCCCCTCTTTAAACTGACTGTGCACTTCACTGACAATCGAAGAACATCTGTGAATCTCTGGGTCTTTATGTGCCCCAGAGGCAGCCTAGGAGAACCTTTCCTACCTGAGCAGCAATTACTTGCCTGCAGGAAGGCGGCTTCAGTCAAAAGGGGGGCTAGATAGATCTTGGAGCAGCTTGAGTAGCCCTGCCCTGAGTGGAAGGAAGACGAAAGGAAGACCCAAAGGTGCTTTTTTCAAGAGGCAACTGGTCTTTCTTTGTTTTTCCTTGAAGACGTTTCACTTCTCATCCAAAAAGCTTCTTTGGTTCTGACTGAAGAAGAACCGAAGAAGCTTCTTGGAGGAGGAGAAGTGAAACGTCTTCAAGGGAAAACAAAGAAAGACCAGTTGCCTCTTGAAAAAAAGCACCTTTGGGACAGCCATGACCTGGGATGACGGAGAATAGACAGGAAGGAAAGACGTTGGTTCTGGGAGAAAAGCAGCAGGTATCAGCCAAGGGGCTCGAAATGGGAAGAGATGGCTTCTAGGCCCAGAACAAGCCTTGGCACCAGCGGTGGTATTCAGCCCATTCAGACCGGTTCTGGCGTACCGGTTGCGGAAATTTTGACTAGTTCACAGAACCAGCAAATACCACCTCTGACTGCCCCTGTCCACGGACTTCAACCGTTACCTCTCCTATATTCCCTTGGGGTTTTTTAGCTCATCTGATTCGCGTGGCAGGGCGGATTACCATGCCTCAGCTGAGCTAAAAGACGGCGTTCTGACAGAGGTCGGTCTTTGAGCCCCGCGCACGCGCATAGAACTGGTAGGGAAAAAAATCCGGAACCCCACCACTGCTTTGCACCATCTTCAAGCTTTTGAGTCCCGTGCCACAGGTTTTGCGGTCAAGGCAGGGCAAGATTTACACCAATTTAATTTTAACTGATAAATCTTAATTTAAATACTCTGCCATGTTTAACAATCCCCCCCCCCCTTTTTGCTACATTAAACTGTTTGTGGCAAATTTGGGCTGGTCAACAAGATGCTAAAGGAACTTGGAAGCAGGGGTGGGATTCAACCGGTTCGGACCGGTTCGGGTAAACCGGTAGTTATAATGATCATTTGGCCCCGCCCACCTGCCCCTGCCTAGTCCAGGGGTCTCCAACCTTGGCCACTTTAAGACCGGTGGACTTCAACTCCCAGAATTCCCCAGCCAGCCATGCTCTGATAAGAACGAGCCTTGCCAAGGTGGTGCAAGGCTGCCAAAAACACTAGATAAAGTTTCCAAGAAATAGTTCAAGCACAAAGATTCTCCAAACACCAACCAAGATACTCCGAATGTCCACAAGGCTTAAGTGCAAAAACTTCTTTGCTTCCTGCAAAGAACTCCGGTTTCTCAGCTGGCTTTTATCCCTTAAGGGAGGGGCCATCACCTTGCAGCCTTACTCCTGAGTCGCCCGTGCTGCTGCAGCTGCTCTTTCCTTCGAGCAGCCCTGCACACACGCACACTGAGCACAGGCTCCTCGGGGACCTCTTCCTCACTGCTGCCAGCCCCCACAATCTCCAAAGGCAGCACTCCACTCCCTGATGGTGCTGGCCCCATCCCTGCATCACACGCAGGCCCCTCATCTGAGTCCGCGCTGAGTCCATGCTGGCTGGGGAATTCTGGGAGTTGAAGTCCACCGGTCTTAAAGTGGCCAAGGTTGGAGACCCCTGGACTAGTCTGTCCTTCATTTCCGTGTTTTGCAGCTCAGCTGACTCACGCAGATTGCTGCGCCTCAGCTCTTACTCACCGTGGCTGCAGTAGAAGGTATTAGAGCTAAAAATGGGCAGTTTTCAAACACAGCACATGCACGCAAAGCACACACTCACCAAACCAGTTGTTATACCGGTTGAATCCCACCACTGCCTGGAAGTCTCTCAGCAAGCCTTTGGTGTCCTTTTGTGTTGTTTTTTTGTTTCTGGTTGTAACAGAAGAAGAGAAGAAGGGCAGAGAAAGGCAGCTGGGTGCCTCCTTTCCTCCTACTCAGGTCACAAAATTGACCTGCTTGGCCTCCCCCCTCTCCAAAAGACCCTTCCTGCTTACTTGATCCCCACACCCTTAAATCTAGACTTGGTGCAACCTCAGGGCAGAACGCTCAGTGTCAAACCTGCTGGGAATATTTTTGTTTTGTTTTATTGTATGGGGGAAAATCTCTCTTCTTAAAATTTATTGTTTTTAATATTAAAAAGGGAAAGAAATTGCAGAGAGAGAGAGAGAAATGCAAAAACAAAACTGTAATATGTTCCTAGTATATCCAAGAAATTAAGCAGCTTCATTTTCAAACATGTCTTTAGCCTAGCTGCCTGGAACAGCCCTGATTGATTCACCTTTCCCTCTCATCCCTACAGAGTCCATATTCTTTCGAAAAATCTAATCTGTTTCAGAGATTCAAGTCTGTACATCCGGAACTGCAGTATCTTTCTAACATTAAATAATAATAATATTGTTATATAAATTATTACTTTTCATACAGTTAATAAAGCCAAAATACTGAGCCTAGCCCCCATCATCTAAGCCAACTGTTTTATTCTCCCAACATAATGAGGTTGAAAGAGTCCTAAAACTGCAGCTGACGTTCAGGTTCACTTGGAAGCAGAAAAGTTCCTTTCTCCCTGACAGTTTAACACAGGGGTGGCAAACTCAAGGCTGGATCTGGCCTGCAGTGCCACCCTGGAAACAGAGAGCGACCGGTCTGCAGTGCCTCTGCCAACCAAAACGGAGCTCAGGGAGGCTGTGCAAGGTTCATCCGGGCTCTATTTTCAGCCACAATAGCCCCCTGCTGCCCTCTGCCAGTGAAAACGGAAGCTCGTGGGGGGGGCATGGCCTGACTGGACTCTGTTTTTGGCCGCGACTGCCTCCTGCTGCCCTTTGCCAGTGAAAACGGAAGCTCGGGGAGACTGCATGCGCCATTTTCACTGGCAGAGGGCGGCAGGAGGCTGTTGCAGTTGAAAATGGAGCCTCTAAGAGTGACATCGAGCGGGCCACGCCCCTGGCCACGCCCCCCCATCCCGTGATCAAACACAACCCTGATGCGGCCCTCAATGAAATCGAGTTTGAAACCCCTGTTTTAAGACAATAAAGAGCATTTATATGAAGCACCACCTACATTTTCTGGAGTCTTAATAACAGATGAACAACTTCCAATTGACAGGGTTTTTTTGGTCTGTTTTTAGTCCGGTGCCGATCTCCACCCTGATCCCGATTAATGGTGAGACAGTCTTGGTTGGCTTGGTCTCCAGTTTGGTGGTTTATCCTCTGTACCTGGTTCTTCTGTTCCTATTCCGGATGGCACGGAGCAAGGTAAGGATCCATTTAAAACACCTGGAGTTCAGAGCAGCCCTGTTACTTGGGAAGTCCAAGAGAATGGTCCAGGGGCTCCACAGTGTCCTTCAACTCTTAAAAGATGGGCCCAAAGGTGATTTTTCAAAAGACAGCTGGACTTTTTCCTTGAAGACATTTCTCTTCTCATCCAAGAAGCTTCTTCAGTTCTGACTGAATGGTGGAAAATGGGAAGATTTATATTCCTTGCTAAATCCTACCATCCTCCACCACTCAGTCAGAACTGAAGAAGCTTCCTGGATGAGAAGCGAAATGTCTTCAAGGGAACGCAAAGAAAGTCCAGTTCCCTTTTGAAAAAGCATCTCTGGGACAACCATGACCTGGATGGCTGAAGATCTCCATAGACAACTCTGAAAGATATTTAGTTTCAGAAGTTGCTCAGAGTTCAAGCTCCTGGGAATAAAGTTATTGGGATTTGCTGTCTTGTAATACTTGCATTTTCTGTTGTTGATTATAATGACACTACAGGAATCTCCAAGGGCTCAACAGTTAAATTTTTATAGCAATTTTCCAGATTTTTAAATAGTGATGTTCCAATTGAAAAAATGTTTTTTCCATTGTTTTGTAATAAGAAACTTGGCAGCTAAAAATAGCAATGGGTTTAATTTCCTATGTTGCATCCATTTTGATGCCTTGGAAAATAAGGGCAATAGACCAACAGCAGCAGCAGCATTCATTATGAAATATCTTAAGCTGATTTTTCCAACTTTCTTCAAATATTTTTAATCTAAATAAATGCCCAACTGGGGACTGACATTCAAAATGGTAATCTATGCCAGTTGGTTTATAGCAGTCTGGCGATCTTGCAGTTTATTTATTATGCTTTTAGCAGAACATGTGTGTATACATATTGTCGTGTTAGTTTGTGTGTGTGTGTGTGTGTGTATGTATGTATAATTTCAAAAAAGTTACAAATTAATTTGCATTTTAATGAGTGAAATAAGGATTTGACTCCTTTTGCAAAACCCGAGTTCGTACTTGGTGGCAAAACCCTTGTTGGCAATCACAGAGGTCAGGTGTTTCTTGTAGTTAGCCACCAGGTTGGCACACATCTCGGGAGGGATTTTGTCCCACTCCTCTTTTGCAGATCTTCTTCAAGTCATTAAAGTTTCGAGTCCGACGTTTGGCAGCTCGAACCTTCAGCTCCCTCCACATATTTTCTATGGGATTAAGGTTTGGAGACTGGCCAGGCCACTCCAGGACCTTAATGTGCTTCTTCTGGAGCCATTCCTTCGTTGCCTTGGCTGTGTGTTTTGGGTCATTGTCACGCTGGAATACCCATCCACGACCCATTTTCAATGCCCCGGCTGAGGGAAGGAAATTCTCACCCAGGGTGTGACGATACATGGCCCTGTCCGTTGTCCCTTTGATGCGGTGAAGTTGTCCTGTCCCCTTAGCAGAAAAACACCCCCAAAGCATAATGTTTCCGCTTCCATAGTTGATGGTGGGGATGATGTTCTTGGGGTTAAAGGCGGGCATTCCTCCTCCTCCTCCTCCAAACATGGCGAGTTGAGTTAATGCCAAAGAGCTCAATTTTGGTCTCATCTGACCACAAGACTCTCACTCAGTTGTCCTCTGAATCATTCAGAGGCAAACTTCAGACAGGCCTGTACCCAGGAATGGGATTCTACCGGTTCAGCCCGGTTCGGATGAACCGGTGGCTCCGACAATCAGCTGTTGGGCCCACCCACTGGCCCCAGCTCTAGTCTGTGCTTTGTTTCCGGGTTTTCCAGCTCATCTGCTTTGTGCAGCACAGCCGATTGCCACACGTTAGCTGTTTCACACACAGGGCTTGCAGCAAAAGGGGAGTTGCAAATGCTGCATGCGAAGGGCGCACTCACCAAACCCGTTGTTACACCAGTTGAATCCCACCCCTGCCTTTCCCTGTGCTTTTTTGGGCAGGGGGACCTTGCGGGCACTGCAGGAGTTCAGTCCTTCACAGCGTAGTGTGTTACCAATTGGTTTCCTGGTGACTATGGTCCCAGTTCAGTGGTGGGATTCAAAAAATTTTATTACCAGTTCTTTGGGCGTGGCTTGGTGGGCATGGTTCGCTAGGCATGGCAGGGGAAGGATACTGCAAAATCCCACCCACCCCAACCTACTTTCCAGCTCCGTTCTCCTGTGCAGGGCAACCAAAGGAGACCCAGCCAATCAGCTGGGACTCAATGGGAGGCAGAGAAGAGATGGGGTTGGCGGGGCCAGTCAGAGGTGGGATTGGCCGGTTCTCCGAACTACTCAAAATGGTCCACTTCTGGTTCTCCAGAACTGGTCAGAACTGGCTGAATACCACCTCTGTCCCAGCTGCCTTGAGATCATTGACAAGATCCTCCCGTGTAGCTCTGGGCTGATTCCTCACTGTTCTCATGATCATTGAACCTCCCTGAGGTGAGATCTTGCCTGGAGCCCCAGACCGAGGGAGGTGGACAGTTATTTTGTGTTCCTTCCATTTGCAAATAATCGCACCAGCTGTTGTCCCTTTCTCACCAAGACTGCTTGAGAATAGTCTTGCAGGCCCTTCCAGCCTTGTGTAGGTCTGCTATCTTGTCCTTGACATTCTTGGACAGCTTTTTGGTCTTGTTCATAGTGGAGGGTTTTGAATCTGATTGATTGATTGCTTTTGTGGACAGGTGTCCCTTTAAGAGAGTGCTCCTTAATCTCAGCTCGTTACCTGTATAAAAGACACCTGGGAGCAAAAAATCTTGCTGATTGGATAGGGGATCAAATATGTATTTCACTCATTAAAATGCAAATCTATAACTTTTTTGAAATGCATTTTTCTGGAATTTTTTTTTTGTTGGTTATTCTGTCTCTCATTGTTAAAATAGACCTGCCATTAAAATTACAGACTGGTCATTTCTTTGTCAGTGGACAAAATCATCAGGGGATCAAATACTTCTTTCCCCCACTGTGTGTAACATTTTAAATGTTACAGGTCATAATTTATTCACTGCATGATAAATAGAAATATACAGATATAATTATATCTTTGCTTGTTTTATAGAGAATTGGTGGTAGTGCTATAAAGAATTAAAAACAGAAAATTTCCACAGTTATTGCAGGAGTCACCCAAATATTTACTGACATAGTAGTTAAATGAATGTTACCAAGGGTATCACTAGGTATCAGTTTTTAAAATTCCTAGTCTTTAAGTGTGAAACTGATACAATTTTTCTTAGTATTTTAATGTGAAGCCAAATATGTGTGAATTTAATCTTAAACGAATAGCCCTATTGGCCTCCTGCAAGGCCTCATAGATTCAGTTCTATGCTCCAGCCTGAGGCCCAGATGTGTGATGGAGCCTTTTACTTGGTCGTGTTGACTGTATGATGTTTTTGTAATATTTTTTCCTCAACTATGTGTTTTATGTTTCTAGGTGGTTTTTCTGTGTTTAATATTGTTACCTGCCAGGGTATTTGAATCTAACAAACGAACAATCTAGATCCATGATGGCGAACCTATGGCATGTGTGCCACAGGTGTCATGCAGAGCTATTTGGGTGCGCATGCGAGCCCCAGCCAAACCCACCTGCACTGCGCATGGGCTGGTGATTTTGGGGCTGTTTGAGGCCATTTTTGCCCTCCTGGGGGCTCAAGGGAAGCCTCTGCAGCCTTGGGAGGCCGAAAAATGGGCCTTCCGGAAATACCTCTGGAGCCGAGGGGAGGCCGTTTTCACCCTCCCAGGGGCTCGAGGGAAACTTCTGCAGCCTTTGGAGGCTGGAAGTGCTGAAATGGGCCCATTTTTTGGCCTCCAAAGGCTGCAGAGGCTTCCCTCGAGCCCCTGGGAGGGTGAAAACAGCCTCCCCCGGGCTCCAGAGGCCCTCTGGAAGCTGGAAATGGGCACTTCCAGTATTTCCGAAAGGCCCATTTTTTGGCCTCCCGAGGCTGCAGAGGCTTCTCTCAAGCCTCTGAGAGGGCGAAAAAGGCCTCATAACTGGCCGAAAATCAGCTGGGAGGCACACACATGCGCAGTGCAGGTAACGGGGCGGGGCGCTTTTGGCACCCCCACAACAAAAAGGTTCGCCATCACTGATCTAGGTAATGACAATCTCAAATATGAAGGAAGAGAAAGAGAAAGCAAATTGCGTTATCAGAGCCATCTTTCTAATCCACAAATGTGCCCTAAATATTGAGAAATGGGAGGGGGCCTTCCCCCCCCATCCCACTCCTCCAATTTCTACCAATTCTGGAAGCAGGACCTGCTGGTTTCAGTCACCCTTCCTCTTAACTGGGGCAGCTTCCAGGACTGGCCTTAATCCGTCATAAGCTACCCGAGCTTGGTAGTTCTTGGGTCTATCTGATGGGTCATTCTGGTTGGGGAAGAACGGCTGAATTCCTGCTCGATGCCATCTTCTTCCCATCTCCGACTTGTTTGGCAGCAGCTTTGCAACCCATAAGAACATCAATGATTGGTTTCCGGCTGGCTTTTCCCCACTGCTTCTTTTTAAACGAGTATGGAGTGTTCTCGATGCGACCCAAAACAAGCTGATTGGAAGATGTCTATGGAGAGTCTCAGTCATCCAGGTCATGGTTGTCCCAAAGGTGCTTTTCTAAAAGGCAACGGGACTTTCTTGGTTTTTTTCCTTGAAGACATTTCACTTCTCATCCAAGAAGCTTCTTCAGTTCTGGTAGAATGCTCCCCCATTCATTCAGAACTGAAGAAGCTTCCTGGGTGAGAAGCAAAATGTCTTCAAGAAAAAAAAGAAGGTCCAGTTGTCTTTTGAAAAAGCACCTTTGGGACAAATTGAGGCAGATTTAAATTTCTGTTCCTCCACCCTGGTGATCCCCAGCTTCCTTCCCTCCTGCAGGTCAACATCAGCCAGTCTCTGGCCCATTCAGACCAGCAATCCCTGGAGATCGACAACTACCTGGACTCATCGCTTCTGGAGAGCTCCTTCATCACTTTCCCCGGCCTTCGGACGGAGGTGAGGAGCATCAAAGCTTCTTCTTTTCTCTCCATGCCCCCCTGCAACTTCTGGCAAGTCCTGGAAATCTTTTCTTCTGCCTTTGCAGTCCTTCCTTCTGGTTGGCCAGGGAGCCATCTTCTCAGGGACCTTTTCAGAGGTGGCTTTTCCTGGAGGAGAGCAAAGAAGAAGCCAGACATGATTTAGTTGTTTAATTAATTTCTATTAACCCCCGCTCCTATCTCTAGCAAGGGACTCCGGGTGTATCATAAAACTGTTAAAGACAATTACATTGGAAAAGTGATAGATAGATAGATAGATAGATAGATAGATAGATAGATAGATAGATAGATAGATAGAGTGGGGAGAGAGAGAGAAGCTGAGGAAAAAACACATAGATATCAATATAGCTATGAAATGGGGCCCTTCACATCCTCAGGGCCCCAGGGCCCGGCACAAAGCCAGGTCTTCAAGGCCTTATGGAAGGCCAAGAGAGTTGAAGTTCTCCTCAACTCTGAGGGGAGAATGTTGCAGGGGGCAGGGGCTACGGCAGAGAAGGCACGTCGCCTGTCCCCGTTCTTTGGCTGGTGGGACCCGTAATGTGCCTAACCTGTCCAACCAAGTTGGACGGCAGAAACCACAGGAGAAGGTGATCCCTGAAGTAACCTGGTCCTTAGCCATGAAGGAAAAGATAGGACAGGACAACCAAGACCAAAAGACTAAGACCAAGACCTAACCTTTATTGTCACTTTTTTCTGTGAACACCCTGGCAAACATTTAAAAAGTGAAATTCTGATGCCCGCTCTCAACAAAGCTATTACATAATCTAGTTATTCTGCTTTGGATATTGTGAAGGCCCCTCCCAGAAGGTAACATAGAAAACAAGTCATGGAGAGAATGTATGGCATCCCAGACAATCCAGCGGACTCTGCTCAAGCATCGCTTATATGCCATGTCCTGGATTGAAGGAAGTGAGCTTCTAATAATCTTTTCTGCCGTCCTCACCACTCTCTGCGCCGCCTTCCTGTCCGAAGCAATAAAGCTTCCAAACCAGACAGTAATAGGGTGCGACAGGATACTTTCAATCGTCCCTCTATAGAAAGGGCATCTCAAGGACGGCCAGTGGGCTAAACTCTTGTCCCTTTCACTCTCTCTTCCTTTGTAGGCTTTTTCAGAGGAAACCAAAACCGATTTGATTCTGGACGATTCGAAAAGGTAAATCCTTGGCTTCTCTTTATGAACAGCCAAGCTTGGCTCAGTGCTGCCACCTGCTGTTTGCAAGTAGAGTTCAGTCATATGGGAAGAAGGCTGAGAAAAGTAGCTCTGGACCATAATTGAGCCCCGAATTATGGCGTTAAGCCATTGCGGTTGTTAAGCAGGTCACCACATGACCGTGCCCAATTTTACAACTTCTTTTTGTAATGGTCTTTAAGTGAATGCGGCAGTTGTTAAGCAAAACTTTTTTATCCAGTGAGCGTTTTCTCTTTTGCCAGAAATCAGAAGTAAATGCTGCAACTGGCAAAAAATGTTGAAAATTGTGATCACAGGATACCAATAGCAGTAGCCCTTAGACTTACAGCTTCACCGTGCTTTTACAGCCCTCTCTAAGCCGTTTACAGAGTCAGCCTCTTGTCCCTAACAATCTGAGTTCTCATTTGACCCACCTTGGAAGGAAGGAAGGCTGAGTCAACCTTGAGCCTGGTGGGATCTGAACTGCCAAAGTGCAGTCAGCCGGCAGTCAGCACAAGTAGCCTGTAGTACCGCCCCCTTAAGCACTGCGCCACCATGGCTCATATGGATGCTGCCAACAGCCACAAAGTTGAGCTAGTTGCCAAATGCCCAGTGGAGGGGGAGGGGGATAGGGTCATCAGAACTTCAACGTTGGGTGGTAAGTACTTTTTTTCCAGGGGTCTGTCATAACTTCGAAGCTCATTAAGTGACCGGTTGCAAGTCAAGAACTATCTGTACGAATCTTGAGACTGGATTTGGAGGAAGGGGAAGCAGTGGGAGAGCTGTAGAGGGAGGCCTTGGAGTTCTCATCTTCCCCCTGTTCGATTTTTGTCTGGGAGCAGCCTGATCCGGTGGCAGTCCAACGAAGCCCTGCTCAACTGGCCAGACCTTCTCAGTGACCCATCCATCATGGGCAACACCATCCAGAAGCTGAAAAGAGGCCGGACCAGCCGTCACCTCGGCCTGGAGGCTCCTTTGGCCCCTGAGGGGGATGCCCTGACACCGGCTATTCCCCAGGCTCAAGCCAGATACTTCTCTGCTTCCGGTAAGGGGGAGGGGGAGCAGAAGCCACGGAGGGCTTGCAAGGGACTTTGACGTCCGGTGTAGAATTGGCCCTTAGATCTGGGCTACCCAGAGGGGGGATAGAGATTCTTCTTGTGTGGAAGAATCAGAGGGGTTCTTGGGGTCATGAGAGAAAGAACAGGAACAATCAGGGGATTGAAATTCCATCAGATGTTTACACGCATCATGTGCCTGGTGCACAATACAAAAGCGCAGAACCTTGACTGCACCATCGTGCTTTCTTTTTTTTTACCACATCCTGGAGACCCCTCGGGTGTTCCCCTTCTATATCTCTGCATTAGAAAGGGCTTTGCAGTGCAGAGCCAGGAAAAACTCTGAGCTTCACATCTTAGTCACACCTACCGCAAAAATTAAAATGCTGGTTTGTCGAACCTTGCTAAGCCAAATCAAGCCATATTGAATGCAATGGGCCTTCCTGGTTCACCTCGACCTGCCAAGAGTTTCCAGAGTCCTCAAAAGGGGGATTTCTCCCATATCAGGAGGCCAGGCCAAAACGTGCTAGCAGTTCTCCCCACCAACCTCTCAAGCTGGAAGGAAAGAAAGAGGAGGGAGGGAGGGAGGGAGGATCTCTCTGACTGGGATGACGGTGACACCCAGAGGATTTAAAGAGGACCTTGCAGACCAATTTGTGCAGAGGAGACATGAATGAAGGTGTCAGGTCCATCGTCACTGGCTTGGTACCTTGCCGGTGCCCTGCCATGAAGGCAGGAGGAGGGAGGGAGGACAGGGCCTTATTGAGTGCTATTACTTTAACTTGAAACATGAGAAATAGGGAGGGGGGGACTGACAATGGAGGAAGATTGGATCACCAAGCCACCTTGTGCCTGGATCTTCAAGGCCGCTTGCCCTGAGAAAGGAATGTTACCAGTTTGACACCTCAGAGTTTCTCAAAGCATTTTGCCGGCATCACATTGGCTGGCTGGGGGACCGTGTCAAGATTGAAATGCTTTACTTCTTCTGAGCTTCTATCGCTTTGCATCTTGTCATTCAAGTGGTAGGAGGGAGGGAGGAAAATGAAATGCTAAGTTTTCATCTGCGGACCGCGAAAGCCTGAACCTCGGCAAGGTCACTGCCGCAGGTGTTAGACGGAAACCTGGACTGTTCCCATAACAAAAGGAAGTCCTACAATTGCACAGTGTGAACACCCAGGGGTCAGGAGAAAGTGAGCCTATTGTTTAATTAAGTGAACCTTTGAGCGGGAAAACCAGAGCTGGTTTTACGTCTGCAGTTCCAAGATGGTATATCCAATAAAGTTATACTTTGGGGAATTCAAAGATCCCGAGAGTGTCTACTTCTTTGGGGTTCACTAGTTGAACCTTTGACATTAAATCAGCTCTCACCAACTTAACACAGCCTACTCAGATTCTGACCCGGCCTTAGCAGAAGCAAAAAACACACTCCTTGTCATGAAAAACCCCTCTTTATTTACCTCTTGTGAATTAATTGCATTTACCCACTGAAAAGTCCGGGCATTAGTCCTTCAAGGAGTTAACTGCAGTACAGACCTTATCAGCTCCTTGCGATAATTGCAAGACCGTGAGCTCCCAGCTGAAAGGCTGCAAATTAAGTTTTGGCAAGCAATTTCTGTGGCACGAAATACAATGAACAAGATCTTCAGAAAGACGAACTGTTGTCTCCTAAGACAACCACTCCCCTCTCCTTCTGTTTATTCCCCAACCAGGGAGGGGCCATTCAGCGTCCACGTGTGCTTTGCTTCCCAAGTTGATTCCTTGTCCTCCATTGTTCCCCACTCCTAACAGCTCTGCGCATACGTGTGTCTGGAACAGGCTCTAGCTGTTCCTCCTCCTCACTCGTATTAGCCTCCAAAGGCAGCTGCCTCTCCGGTGGCTGGGAAATGTCAGACAGTGTTGTGCTTAGCCGGCAGCAAGTGCAGATGGCTGAGGAGAGCGAGGACTCTGATGAAGGGCCAGGACCATCAGGGAGTGGACTGCTGCCTTCAGAGATTGTGGGGGCTGACAGCAGCGATGAGGAGGTTCCCGAGGAGCCTGTGCCAAGTGCACATGCACGAAGGATTGCTTGCAGAAAAGAACAATTGTAGCAGCACAGGTGACTCAGGAGTAAGGCTGCAAGATAATGGCCTCTCCCTCAAGAGGATAAAAGCCAGGTTTGGAAAAGCGTTCTTTGCAGACAGCAAAGAAGCTCTGAAGCTCAACTGGGGGACATCTTAGTTCGTGTTTGGAGAATCTTGTAAATTAGTTCTTTGGGTTTTTGGCAGCCTTGACAAACAACTTGGCAAGGCTCTTGTCGGAACCAATTGTTGGAAAGCAGCCTTTTATCTGTAAAGGAACAGAATTATGATTAAACCTTGAAAGGTGGGGGCTGCTGCCTTTGTCTGTGTTTGCTCTCTGGGAACCTGGTTGGGTCAGAACAGACGGCCCTGGCTCCATCTCTGCGTCCAACACAGAGCATCCATCAGAGCCTTCCCCAGACTCCAGGACTGGCCCAAGTTCCTCCCCAGCCTCCTCCTCATCCAGTTCTGCTGCTGTTCTGATCCACGCCCTTTTCCAGCAAATCAAACACACTCCAAAAGGAACAGAAACCTTGTAATGCTTTTACAAAATAATTAGCTGTGATAAACACAATTCTTGCCAAACCGTGCAAGGCTTGCCAAAAGATAACAGACAAGAAATAACTTGAAAAATAAGAATCTTCAAATACAAACTCAGGATACTGGAATGTCCACAAGGCTGGAGTTTCAAAACGTCTTTGCCTCTGCAAAGAACGTTCATTTCACAGCTGGCTTTTATCTTCTTGAAGGAGGGGCCGTTACCTTGCAGCCTTACTCCCGAGTCGCTCGTGCTGCTGCAGCTGCTCTTTCCTCTGAGCAATCTTGCACACACGCGCACTTGGCACAGGCTCCTCGGGAACCTCCTCATCGCTGCTGCCAGCCCCCACAATCTCTGAAGGCAGCAGTCCACTCCCTAATGGTCCTGGCCCCTCATCTGAGTCCTCGCTCTCCTCAGCCATCCACACCTGCTGCCGGCTAACCACAACAGCTGCCAGCTCTGATGGCAGCTGGTGGGCCACAACAGATGCCTCCGAGAGAGCTGTAACCTATCATGCGGGGAGGGAGTGGGAGTCCGAAAGAATAGCTTTGTATTTGGGGCGGGAACATCAGATCCCACCTTCTGACAGACCTGCCCCAATCTACTGTCTCAGGAAAGGGAGACTCATGACTCCATTTATGACTCTACTGCAACCAGTTTATTTCGGTAAAAGTCCTTTTGCTTCAACTAAATGGAATCATGAGTCTTGCTTTCCTGAGAGAGTAGACCGGGGCAAGTCTGACAGAAGGCGAATCTAACGCATCCCAAGATAATATTGCAGGATCCAATCTGGGTCAGTCCCCAGGACCAGAGGTTTAGCCATCCAAGCTTTTGGACTTGTGCTGGAGCCCATCTTCGGGGAAGTTCTCCCTAGCAGAGTGGAGGAGACATGGTCACGTGTCTCGATCATTTCTCTCTCCCCTCACAAGTTGGCCACAGGGTTTTCCACACAGGGCCCAGAGAGGATGGCTGGCCCCTACTCCTTGTGGGTGGGAGGGTATTGTGTTTGACGGGGGAGGGCTCCTTTCCCAGCAGTTGCACAATGCCTTATATTGGTATGGTGGAGTGCTTGGTTTTATGCACCTAGTAGGAAGACAGGCCAGGCCATCACCCACCCACCCACCCATCAGAGGTACCATTTGCCCTGAGAACTTGGTTTGTTCTTCCCATAACAGACGAAGATCTGATACGGCAGATTCTTGCAGATGGAGCTGGTGGCATCCCTCATCTTCAGGAAGTGGGAAACTGCCCCAAGGTGGAAACGGACCTCCTCTCGGGGCTGTAAGTCTGTGGAGAGGGAAAGGGATGTGTTTGGGGTGGGGGAGGGAGCTCTCAGAAGGACCCCCTCCCATTCTTCTGGGTTGAGTTCTTTTGTGTGTGTGAGAGATGCAACATATTGAAAAGGGGGTGGTGCATTGCGTAGGGCTTTCCTTGGCTGGCTTGCACCTGGCCTCCCACCTGGTAAGTCAGGAGGAACCTGGGCTGAGAGGCGAGTGGACCCACCCGAAAAGTCTCAGTTTCTTCCTGCCAATATTTGAAGGAGTTCCTGCATTGGATTATTCCGGTAGGTCAAACGTGCCGGGAGACAAGATGGAAGCCATCGTGTTGCAGAGGCTGAACGAGAAAGGCCAGAGCGTGGCAGTCCCTGGCCGGGAACTGAATCATTCTGCCAAATCAACCCGAACAGGTAACCTTGTTCTGGCCTGAAATAAAAATCATCCATTCGGGACAACTGGAGACACGTGGACAATATAGAAGAGCTTTATTATGAAGCTTTTGCAAAAGGGAATTCCGCCCTTGGGCAGAAGACATGGTTCCCAGGAAGGCTGCGGTTTATATACAGGTTCAAATACTGAAAATAATCTCTGCCCCTTTCCTGGGTTCACAACCTATCCAGCTATGTATCCAGCTATGCAACACCCCTATTTTTGTAGCATAACATCTGTTTCTTCGTCCTGTTTAACCTGTTTCCATTTCCAGTAATCTCCATCATTAACATGCCACTGGACAGCGTAACCTGCCAAATATATAACCTTTATACAAAACAATAGAGAATTCTTTCCAGTAAGTTATCTTAGGTTAACATAGAGGTTAAAAATGGTGTTGCCATTGCTTTATATTTTCACAGGTATAATTTTGCATATCACGTGGCCACGTGGCCCACATGGGAAAATACAAAAAGTCCTCAGGCCTCCCACACCCCTTCTTAAGGAAGCATACAAAGACCTGATGCTTTTTAACTTGCAGGGGGTCTCACAGCTGCCTTTCTGGAGGAATCTTAGTGCCAAAATGCCAAGGGAACCTGGTTTTAGAATTTGCCCTCCAGGAGCTGAGCTGGGCTGGGCTTTTGCCTAGATAGCGTCTGTTCCTCTTTCCCTGCAATTCAGTTGTGACTGTGTCACTTTTCTATCTCTTTGTTAAATAAGTCCTAACCCTAAATTTTTCTTCAGTGTGGCCTCGTATACTCCTGTGCCAGCTGGGGCCTTGTGCCAAGATTTACCTCCCCACCCCGTTTCTTGCCTGCAGTTGTGGACCACCATCTCCAGAAGCGCCTGCTGCCCTCTTGGTGCTCCTCCTTGGCCCATGCCATCAGCCTCCTCCTCCTCCTCCTCTGCTTTGGAGTCTCCGTGTGGATCGGAGTGGGGTTCAGCTCCAGTGTGGCCCTCATGTGGCTGATCTCAGGGATTTTTAGCTTCCTCTCCTCCTTTTTGCTCTGGGAACCCCTCAAGGTAAGGTAGAAGACGAGACCTAGAAGATCACGCTAGGTCCCTTCCTCAACTCCCTCTGGTAGTTGGTTTCCTCTTCTCTCTGGCCGCATTCCGTTCCTTTACCTCCCCCTCGTTTTCATGTTCCATCTTTTGTTCTTTTGTTTGTTTGTGTTGCTAAAATTTGAGTAGGCATCCAACAAATATTTTTGCCCATTGTCTCCCACCCTCAAGAGAAACTGAGCTGTCAAAATGGTTGTGGAGAACCTCTGCTGCAACTCAAAACTTATTTGGTTTTCAGGAAGCTACCTAATTAGATAATAGGATAACTTCATTGTCACTTTGAATGTACACTAATCAGCATACATTAAAATAAAATTTCGTTGCATACAGCTTTCAAAGGGTCACCACCTCCAATATACACTACATAACCATGACAGACTAAATCAGGGGTCCTCAAACTTGATAGCTTTAAGACTTGAAGTGTGGACTTCAACTCCCAGAATTCCTCCTCCAGTCATGTTAGCTCAGGAATTCTGGGAGTTGAAGTCCGCAAGTCTTAAACTTGCCAAGTTTGAAGACCCTTGGACTAAATAAATAAACACAAAATTCTACATATATTATATGACACAGAGAAACAACGCAATCTGCTTCAGATGTATACATGTACACGGCAAGAAAAACGAATCTTGCAAGTTTATCAGATGGATGGCCTAGGGAACCAAGCTGTTCCAGAATCTGGAAACCCCCTCCCAGAGGGGACCAACAGAAACAGACCTTGAAGCCCCCGTGTGGAGTCTCTAACAATGCTTTGAGCTCTAAGCGCATAGCGCTTATAAGCAGTATCCTGAATAAGCGGAAGCAAGCTTCCTACAATCTTCTCCACTATCCTTACCACTCTTCCTAGGGACTTTCTATCTGAGGCACTGCTGCCAGCAAACCAAACAGGGATGCGGTTTTGTTAAAACGCTCTCAATCATGCCTCTGTAAAAAGCGGCTAGGACAGAAGGAGAAAGAGGTGCTCTGATGGATTTCAAAGATCAGTCATTGTGCCAAGATGTCTGACTGCCTGGGCAGCATTTATTCTTTTATACCATTTTTACAAGCAAGGAAGAATAGCATAGATATAGTATTTGGATTGGAGAATAGATCCCACATGGGTGCAACCTCCCAACCAATCCTTAATACTAGTGGTGATGTTAGTAAAATGAGGTCACCTATATGTCTGGAAAGTCCGGGACTTTCCACCTTCACCAGATATAGGGAATGAGATCATGCAAATAACCAAGCGGCCCCATATAGGTTTTTAGACACTGCAGTTTGCTGCTAGCATCTAGCGCCATCCATAGGATCTCAGTAGCTACTACAGTGCTCTCCTCATCCGACGCAGGAAATGCAGATGCTGCTTTGCACGCTTCACTATGGATGACTTGTGGAGAGAGCAATTCAGATTTTAGTTATCTGCATCCTCAAATACTTAATACTATTGACCATCTCTGCAGCTGGATCCTTGATACTGAGTGAAGCAGGACCATGCCGGTTCTTTCTAAAATCTACAATGAACTCCAACGGCTCCTGGTTGAACCTGGTGGCTGAATTATTTACAGGCCAGCCTCTTGGGAAGATCCAGGCCAGCCTCTTGGGAAGATCCTGCTTGGGAAGATCCAGGCCGGGAGGGCAGAGAGCCAGTTCTTTGAAGGGAGAGGAACCTAAACACTGGCACAATATGCAGGGATTGTTGAGGGCAGTTGCACCTGGAGCATATTCCCCTTGGGGTCCAACAAGAATCCCCGACGGTCTGTTCAGAGCAGGGGTCCCCACGAACTTGGCAACTTTAAGACTTGTGGACTTAAACTCCCAGAATTCTCCAGCCAGCTGTGATGACCCAACGGGGCGTAGCACAAAGGCAACACAGTCAGATAATCCGTAGGAGTCCCTTTATTAACTCCAACCTTGCCTCCAATGTCCTGGTTACCTTCTGGCTGGAGAAAAACTCTCCTAGGAACAGAGAATCAAGTCCAAAACATGATCAACAAAATCTGTAACTTATAAGTCCAATCAAGGCAAAATGTTTGGCAGGGGGTGAGCAAGAAGGCATGGCAAAACTCAACACAGTTGGAAAGACACCAGGGACACAGATAAACAAAGTCAACACAAGATAAACCCACGTTGCTCCCTTCTCCATTCCTCCCTGCGTGCCCTAGGATGAAGGTGGGCCTGGGTCTTCCTCTGAACTCCCTCTCCCCTGCTCTGCCCAGCCAGACTTTGCCCTTCCCCAGTTTCCTCCACAGCCAATGGAGCCACACTCCACTCCCTGTCAGCTGTTCACCTAGGAAATCTTCCTCCTGGGCTTCAGACTCGGACAGGGGCATGACACCAGCTTTGCTGGCTGGAGAATTCTGGGAGTTGAAGTCCACAAATCTTAAAGTTTCCAAGTTTGGAGACCTCTGGTTCGGAGCATTGTGCTGTCTCCAGAATAGCAACGGAGGGCATTGATTTAACAGATCTTCCCTTGAAACAGGGGGTTGCATTAGGTGATCTGCAATGTCAACTCCCACTCTCCAGGGCTTTGATCTTTTGCCTGGTCTGTGCCTGCAGATTCTCCTGGAAGCCGTTTACTTTTCTCTGGTGGCCAAGCGCCTGCACCCCGAGGAGGACGACACCCTGGTGGAACACCCCATTGTGGAGCACATCTCGGAGAAGATCGGGAAGGTCCGGCCCCCTCAGGGCTTTGCTCTTTTCCAGGCCAAGGAAGAGGCCAGAAAGGTCAAGCTTCTGCACAGCCTGCTCAAGGTACAAAGGGGTGGGGGGAAGGTGTTATCTGGGAGGGGAGGACCAGAGCCCTGGGATTCTGCCCAATGAGAGGAGAAAGAGGAGACAGGGCCTCTGGTGTCATCTCCCCTCCTGGCAGCAGGAACCCCAGATGTCCTGATTTAAAGGGGAGTCCGTGAGAGGGTGGGCGTGCAAGCATCCCCAGATCCCAGTGCAGAAACCCTTTTCCCTTCCTGGTTGGGGCGTCCTGTGTGCAGGGGCTGCTTTGGGCTCTTCTCAGCAGAATGGCAATTTATCAGGATTCCAGCTCTAATTAAATCACGATTCTCGAGCCAAACTTCAAAAAACTTCAAAGGATTTATTAGAGGCAACAAACTGGCACTGCCCTGTATGCAGCCAACTCTGGCCTACGTAATTTTTTTTTTTTAAATAAAGTTTTAATTGGGTTTTCACACATACAAAATACAAGTAAAACATCTTTTTGGAAAATAGCATGGTCCCGGGTTGAACTTCTTTATACAGACACAAAACTCAATTTCATGCTCCTTTTTGTATTCTATTCCATATCTTATACTATTTTACATTTTCTATATAGTTTTTCCCCTCTTTTGATTTTCTCAATTTTTTTTTGATTATCTCATCTCAATTCAAATCATTATATTTATACTTTTGTCTGTTCTGTTTCAATTTCATATTATCTTTTCTCATTAAACAAGTTTTCTCCTGTAGTTACTAATTGGAGTATGACACCTTTATATCTTTTAATTACATCCATTCAACTCTTATTTAAACTTCAATATATACCTTAAGGTTATGACCTTCAATATAATACATAATACATAACTTCCAATCGAATTCTGCTTGGTACATTCTTATAATATACACTATATTCTTTTAAAAAAAAGATTGTAAATATATATAATTATAAACCCTCATTCCATTCCAGTTCAGTTCTATCATTAATAATCATTAAAATCTTAACATCTTTAACACTTCTTTTCAATTAAATATACTTCCTTAAAAACACATATAATCTCCATAATTAATTTTTCCCTTATTTCTCTTCACATATGTTTAATAAATCATTAAATATACCTTTTATTACATTTATTTATTGACAAGCATTCCACTGAATTATGATAGCTATTTTATCAGACATTTTAATCATACATTGTTTCATATTTTCTAAAATTATTTCTGCTTCTAATATAACCATACTATCTTATGTACCTTTGCAGAATCCCTTTTTCCATTAAATTTTCACCCATTATCTCTAAATAGGCCCTGTTTCTCTGTATTTTGTTTCTGTCCTTTATGACTTCTTTTCCTTTCTTTCTTCCCTCTCATCTTCTCCCTCCCCTTTTTACCCCCTTGTCTCTCTATTTCTAATTCTCTCTTCTGCATTTCCCTCTTCTGTTGCTTTCTGATTTTATACTTATTTTTCACTCTATTTTTTTTTGGGGGGGGGGGAGTTGTTTTTCCCAATCTTAAACTTTCCATTCTTTTTCCCCCCCTTTCCTCCCCCCCCCATCTAAGATTACTTGTTCATTAAAGATGGCTTCTTCTTTGTCCCAATCTTCTTGTTCTGCAGGCATTTCTTGTTGTTTCTCATAATTCCAAATCTCCATTTCTAAAAACTGAAATACGAAGCTAAAAGAACCTCTCCTTTCTTGTGCATCTTCTTTGTACTTTTTAAGTTCCATTTCAGTTCTTCTAAAAGTGGAGCCATTTTAAACAGTTTTAAACAACCACCCGATTGATTTTAGTCATTCAAAACAATAACCAAGAATCCAGAAATCATCAAGTAATCCAGATAGTCCCGAGTTATATCTTCTTTTTTCTTTTTCGACTTTCTCTTCCCTGGGTTTTTGTTGCGATATTTCAGTTAGAATGTATCTTTTGGAAGTCTTGTTGAGATTTTGCTGTAAGTTCTTTTTTAATTCCAGGCAGTCTCCTCCCTTCCAGATCCTGCCCTTTTATTCTTCCTCTCTCCTTTCCTGTTTTCAAAAGCTTTTAATTATCCAGAAATCTTTATTATCCTTTTGACTTTTTATTTTCAGCATTAAATGCCTATTGATGTCAAAGTGGATTTTTCCCCAATTTCTTACTTAAGTCTCTTAGCTGTCAGTATAGGAAAAGGAGAAAACCAAATCTTTTCCCTTTTCTCTCTCCTTCACAGCTTAAAAATTTTCTTAGGGAACAATGTTATTGTTTTTTAACAGTTTCAATTCCAGGGTACCTTATTTGTTGCTTTTGCTGTTTGACCCAGTCAACCAAAACTTTCTCTTCTTATCTTCCTCCTGCACATTCTTTTCCGGTTGAGTTCTTCTTTGTGGTGGCCATTTCTGACCACAGCTGCAACCACCTTCGGGAAAGGGAGTAATGGCCAGCTGGGGAGGAGAGATGCGGCTCTCCTCAACCCTGCTGGCAGTCTCCCCCCTCTTCACCACCTCTACAAGGTGGCTTAGCCCCAAAACCAGCCAGCTCGGGGCGCTCCAGCGGCGAGCATGGATCGAAGCCTCGCAGAGACGAGGTTTTGGTCTGTCGCTGAAGAAGCTCAAACCAGAAGCCTGGCCTACGTAATTTAAAGTCCCCTGTGACCCTGTTTCCCCCCTCCCCTCTGGTGTCTCATAAACCAGATTCTCTCTCTTCACAGGCTGGATGTCATCCTTCACGTTCTCCAATTAAATATATTTGTGGGCAAAAGCCCTGGTATTTTAGTTACAAACTTTTAAAGGTAAGAGTTGGAATGTTGGAATCTTCCAGATTTCCTCCCCCCCCCCTTTTTTTTAATGGCAACTACTAAAACAGGCATAGGAATGTTGATGACTTGACACTCAAGTCCCCTTTCTCTGTTTCTCCTAGAACTGCTTTGTCTACATGTTCTTCCTGCTGGTCATCCTTCTTACCAACTACAGTGGGCCTTCACACAACAGCCAGGCATTTCTTTTGCAAAAGTCCATCAAGCAGCAACTTGGCACCACACAATTCCTGGATATTAAGAGGTATTTCTGCTGCATGGTCTACTGTTTACATGTTTAGCCTTGTAGACATTTTGATGACTACACCTAGAGTACTGCATCCAGTTTTGGTCACTATGCTATAAAAAAAGGATGCTGAGACTCTAAGAAAGAATGCAGAGAAGAGCAACCAGGACAGTTAGGAGACTGGAAACTAAAACATACAATGAACGATTGCAGGAACTGGGCCTGGCTAGTCTAGGGAAGAGAAGGACCAGGGGAGACAGGAGTGCAGTCTTTCAATATTCGAGGGGCTGCCACAGAGAGGAGGAAGGGGTCAACCTGTTTTCCAAGGCACCTGAAGGCCAGACAAGGAATAATGAACAAGGAGCTGAACAAGGAGAGATTCAACCTGGAAATAAGGAGGAATTTTCTGGCAGTGAGAACAATCAACCAATGGAACAGAAGCTGCCTTCAGAGGTTGTGGGAGGGTTAGGAGGAAGGCTGGGCCTCCTTGCTTGGCCCCTGTGGCAGAGCAGGCAGGGAGGGGTTAGAGCAGCCCTCTTGGGCCCAGAATCCAGTGGCTGCAGTGGAGAACCCCTTCTGGGCGCAGGAAGATTGGGTAGGAGGATAAGGATGGAAATTGCAGCTCCAGCCAAGGGGGAAACGGGGCTTGGCAGGGACTGGAGGGGCTTTGAAATCGGGACAAGCATCTTCTGTGCTGAGTATAGTCGCTCTCTCCTTTTCCTCCTTCATCGTGTTGGTGCAGAGTGGATGACTTCTGGCTTTGGGCCACGCAGGGACTGCTCCCCTTTCTGTACCGGAACCGGTCTGCCCAGGGAAGCTCAGGTATCACCCTGGGGGTCCCAAGACTGCGGCAAATCCGTTTGCGAGAAGGTAAGTGGGAAGCGAGCAGGTCTTCATCTCTTCAACGATGAGCGCGGTTGTGGTTAGAATGCGGCATTTGCAGGTTAACTCTTGTTCACTGCCACAAGTTCAGTCCTGATCCGCTCAAGGTTGACTCTGTCCTTCCGAGGTGGGTCAAATGAGGACCCAGATTGTTGGGGGGCAAGAGGCTGATTCTGTAAACCGCTTAGAGAGAGCTGTAAAGCACTGTGAAACAGTATATAAATCTAAGTGCTATTGCCCTTCCTTCCTTCCTTCCTTCCTTCCTTCCTTCCTTCCTTCCTTCCTTCCTTCCTTCCTTCCTTCCTTCCTTCCTTCCTTCCTTCCTTCCTTCCATGGTGCACAGTGGTTAGAATGCAGTATTGCAGGCTAATTCTGCCAACTGCTAGCAGTTTGATCCTGATCAACTCAAGGTTGACTCAGCCTTCCGTCCTTCCGAGGTGGGTAAAATGAGGGGCCAGATTGTTGGGAGTGATAGTCTGACTCTGTAAACTACTTAGAGAGGACTGTAAAAGCAATGTGAAGCATTATATAAATCTAAGTGCTATTGCTATTAGTAAATCATGCACCATGTTCCGGGTGCGGAATAGAAATAATTGGTTTAAGAAACAAGGTCAGCTTCCTCCCTGCCACAGTCTTATTTGGTGTGGCATCTTCTACCAAAGCCTGACTCTTCTCTGGATTGCTCAGGTGCTCCAGATTTGATCTCTCCCGCTCTATGACTTTTTTTGACCACGGACCCTCTGTTTGATTCCATTAATATGGAGCCTTTCCTGATATTTGGATAAATCAGGACATGCTTTCTTATTAAGTAGTTTTACTTATCAGATTTCTATACCAGTCTCACCTATGGGATTCTGGGCAGTTTACAAATAAAAAGCATAAAAAGAGACACCGTTTTTTTTAAAAAATACCATGTTTCCCTAAAAATAAGGCCCTGTTTTATATATATATTTTTTGGCCACCAAAAAAGGTACCAGGTCTTATTTTTGGGGGGATGTCATCCGCTGACTAACCTCACTCGCATGCATCGCCCCGGCCTCCTTTTTGCTGTCAGAGGCCTTCAGGAGCTGCTTCTTCTGCAGCCAGCCAGGCTTTCCTGACGCCTCTGCAGCTGACAAGAGAGCTCCAGGCCGACCCAGAGCTTCCTTATCAGCTCCAGAGGCCTTCAGAAAAGCCTTGCCGGCTGCAGAAGAAACGGGCCAGCAAGGCAGGTATGGGGGGGGGGGGGGCGGTACAAGGCCTGGCTACAACTGTAGGGCAGTTCCACCCCCCCCATCCCCACTCTAGCTTAATTTTTACCCATCCACCCTGGAGTGGGCGCGATCTTAATTCAGGCTTATTTGGGGGATAGGGCTTATATTGGGTATAACGCGTACAAAATCAAGCGAGGACTTACTTTCAGGGTAGGTCGTATTTTTGGGAAAACGGCATATCCAAGAGTTAAAAAGAGTTAAAAAGTTCAGAATTGCAAAAGTCAGAAAAGGCAGAGGGGGTGAGCTCAAGCCACCGACCACCCGCAAGGTTGCATGCCACTCTTAGACCTCCAGGCCCTTAGACCCTTTTCCTCTCGGCCAGGCAAGTGGAGTCCCACCTCTCCCTTTGGGGGCGCTCCCAACCTAGCAAGCCCTTTCCCAGTCCCATTCGAAGGCCAAGGGAGTCCCCATGCTGCTCAGTCTGGTGCCCGTGGCTTGAAGAGCAGAGTTGAGAACCATAAAGACATCGAAGGGGAAAAGGCCTCAGCAGGAGCCTCGCCCAGAGTGCTGAGCTCAACAGGTTCAGACCCGGCTAGTCACTGGAAGAGGAAGAGCAGCAGGAAATCCCACAGTCCCACCTGGGAAGTTGAAAAAAAAAAAAAAACACACTCTGGATGAAAACAACAACTAGACACTTCTGGTTAGGCATTGTTGCCAAGTAAACAACCCAAAATGGAGTGTGAGTTGATGCCCAGAACCAACTTTTGGTCCGGTTGCCATGATTCAACCTTTAGACACCTTTGGCCCGCATGGTTGAGTCCTCATTGAAATACGGTGGCTGGATGGTTTTTGTCTCTGGAGAGAAGAAAGCTCAGGAAGAAGCACATTTGCAGGGCCAGCTGAGAAAACATGGCGCCCCCTTTCCCCAACAGAGTGCTTGAATTCACTGGAAGAGGCCCTCCGTGGGACGAAGGGAAGATGCGCTTTCCGTTCCAACAGCTTTGACAGCTCCGGCTACACGGCTGGCTGGAAGAGCCCCTCGGACGACCTGGGGCCGCTCTGGACCTACTCTCCTCCTGACCTGGCTGGGTGAGTGGAGCCACTCCCTTCCCTTCCTTTCTCTCCCCCCACGCAGGTAAAAAATAACCATTCTCCATTTTTAGTGTGGCCGGTTGCGTTCCCTTCTGACTTACCTCTCGGCCCTGGAGCCGTTTCCCCCAGGCCTCTTCAGGGCTGCCCCAGCGGAGATGAGTCGAGCTGTGGGAACGGCAGAGGGGAGGTAGAGATAGCGGGAGGACTTTAGCCAAAATAAAATCCTTTCCTCTGAGAACCAAGGACTTTCCCACCAGGTGCAAGGAGGTGGGATCTGAGACCAAAAGTGACCCTTGGACCGTGACCTGATTGGACCATGTGATGGACTACATGGACAGGGGGAGGAAAACTTTACTTTTAACTAGGGGTTTAGAGTTGGGTTTCCCCAGATGGGCCAGTAGGACATGCCTAATAAATCTATAGGGTGTTACCCTAAAAGAGGACCTGACCTGGGGGGCTCACATTGCAGCCCTGGTCAAAAGGGCCCAGCAGAGATTAGACTACCTGAGGCTTCTCAGAAAACAACAATGGAATGAAAAACTGCTGGTGACCTTCTACCGCTGCACCACAGAGAGTATCTTAACTTCCTGCACCTCTGTATGGTTTGCCAATTGCACAGTGACAGAGAAGGAAAGCCCTCCAGAGGGTTAAGGTCATTGCCCAGAAGATCCTGGGTTGCCCTCTCCCCTCTTTGGAAGAGCTTTATAGCTCCCGCTGCCTTAAGAAAGCTCAAAACATTCTCAAAGATCCATCTCATCCTGGGTGCTCTTTTTTTTTGACCTATTACCATCTGGCAGACGGTACAGAATAATAAAAACCAGGACAAATAGGCTGTAAAACAACGTCTATCCCAGGGCAGTGGCTCTTTTGAATTCTACTGTATATTACAATATGAATGCAATATAAGGGGGTTTCAATTCAATTATAAAGAATGTGAAGGAGTGTGTTTATTTTCATAGTCATAATGTACACTGAGGATAGTATTTAATTTCGTTGTACGAGGTGCAGTGACAATAAACTAAACTAAACTAAACTAAACTAAACTAAACTAAACTTTGAGGAATATGCCTGCCTTGGAGTTTGGATTCCGTTGGGGGTGTTTCTTGGAACCCTGACATTGCCATCATCTGTGGTGCACCTCTTCTTCAAGAGCTCAGGATAGGTGCCATCTTAGTCCCTTATCCAGGTTTCTTCCCATAGGTAGTCCTCGACTTACAACAGTTCCATTTAGTGACCACTCAAATTTACGTCGTCACAGAAAAAAGTGACTTATGACCGTTTTTCACCATTTGAACCTTTGCCGCATCCCCATGGGACATGTGATCAAAATTCAGACGCTTGGCAACTGGTTCATACTTATGACCGTTGCAGTGTCGGGCAGATACATGATCCATCTTTTGTGACCGTCTGATGAGCAAAGTCAATGGGAAAACCAGGTTCACTTAACAACTGTGTTAACTAACTTAACAAACTGCAGTGATTCACTTAACGACTGTGGCTAGAAATGTCATAAAATGGGGCAAGCTTCACTTAACAGTAACTTTGGGGCTCAACTTGTGGCCGTAAGTCAAGGACCACCTGTGGTGGCAACGGGGGAGAGGGTTTGGGCTGTGGGGCGGAGTGCAGCGTCCAGGTTGGACCTTCCAGACGGTGCCAGAAATGGAAAGGAAGGAAGCATCTTTTCTGCAACCCCTTTTAGTTAAGAACAAGTCAGGGAAGGCGACAAGCGTCAGGCTAGAGTCACAATCAAAGAAGAAAGGGCAGAAAAACATTTAGGAGAAAACTGTCCAAAAGTCCCGTCTTTTGAGCTTATTCAGATTGCAAAGGTGTCAACTCGTAAAGCATTCCTGGCTTGTTCTCAGTTGCCATAAGGAGGAAGGGGGGGGGTGAGATCTGATGAAGCAGTTCAGTTGCACATTCCACTCATACCTTTCTCCAGATTGTGTCTCGGGTTACCAAGCCCAGCCGGAGAGGCGTGTTTTCCACAGCCTGCAAAAGTGCTTCGTTGGAGTATGTGATTTATGACACACCGTGGGAGGACGGGGGAAACAGGCTCATAGGTGGGCAGTAAATTACGTAGGGCAGAGCCGGCTGCATTTAGAAAAGTGCCGACATGTTGCTCCTAATAAATAATTGGATTTCTTTTGAAACTTGGCTCGAGGCTCATAAATTAATGAGAGCATTCATCGGAACCCTGACAAATGGTTTACAAAGACCTGGAAGGGGGCTAGAGAGCAGAATCCTGCGGGGCACAGAAGGGGCTTTTCCGGCCCTGCGTGACTCCTCCTCCTCCTCCCCTGGTATTTCAGGGCCTGGTATTGGGGCTACCTTTCCATCTACGACAGCGGAGGTTACATCCAGGAATTGGGAACCACTCTCCAAGAAAGCAACGCTTTTCTGCAAGGCCTCCAGCAGAACAACTGGATCAGCAACAGGTGGGTGACGAGGGCAGGAGAGACCCATGTGGGAAACCGAGGCAGGCTTGAACCCCCACCCACCCCCCGCACCCCCCAAGCCCCTTGTTTGGCGATATTTTGACCCGTCTTTCCATCCATTGCAGGAGCCAGGCAGTCTTTGTGGAAATGACCCAGTATCATCCTGTTCTGGACCTCCATGCTGCCGTCACGCTCCGCCTGGAGTTCCCCGTGGCAAAACACGCCGTGCCAGCTGTGACCGTCACTCCCTTCCCGCTGCACCCCCTTGGCAGGAGGGTTACCCCGCAGCTGCTCATGATGGTCAGTCCCAAAGTTCTCCCTGCTCCTCCTTCCTTGTACAAGGCAGATGGTTGGTGCTGCTCCAAACCAGGGCCAGGCCTGGCAGAGGACCTTTTGGGTCCCTGCATAAAAACGGAGGACGACTGAGTGTCAGGAGGTTGACAAAATGGAGGCCATTTTCTGAATACTTTCCAGAGAATGACCCGCTGGGAACCCCATATTAAAACAACATACCTTTTGTGCTGCCAGCATTTGAAAGCAACGTTTAATACGGCCCAGTACTTGAGGAAAATGGTTCAGCCGAGATCTGCAGATGTGGGACTGATTGGGGTAGATTGTAGGGGTGATACTGAAATATAATCTTATTTCTATACCTCAAATTATTGTATTTTACTCCAATGTCATTTTAAATTGTTTTTGTAGGATTTTATTAATCATTTGTACTTGGAATTCTGCATTTTGATAGGACCCATCGGCTAATCCATGAACTTAACTTTCCAGAGAGTCCATGTTGCTACTCAGGGTGCAGCCAAGGGACTCACCTAGGAAGTGACAGAAGGTGTTGGAGGGACTCACCCAGGTTTGGCCACCTCCACCTTTCCTGGGAGCTCACCTGTCCCCTTTCTCCTCCCCACCCAGGTCTTCCTGATGATCCTGGTGGTCTATTTCGTGGTCTCGGAGTCTCTGGCCATCAAGAAGGAAGGCAAGGCCTACTTCGCCCTCCTCAGCAGCTATGGCCAGTGGCTGCTTATCCTGGCTTCCACCTGCACGGTGGTGGTCCACCTCAGCCAGGCCACTCTCGCTGAGCGGCAGTGGGCGAAATACCTGAAGAACAAGCGGGCCTTCACCAGCTTCTACCCGGTGGCGTCTCTCCACGTGGCCTTCAGTTGCCTGGCTGCTTCTCTGCTCTTCCTGCTGACAGTCAAGGTAGGGACAGGCATCCCTCAGGAGGGCGATGGAATCACTGTTAGGAAGGCTTCGGAAGATTTGTGGATGAGACAAGGAGCTAGAGCTTTCTCAGTGGATTAAATTGCCTCTCCTTTAGTATTTTGGGCAACCTGGATGCCTTTTCTTTGCTCGCTGTCCTAGAGTTGCTTTGGCAATGATTGGCAAGATACTGTATATACTCGAGTATAAGCCTAGTTTTTCAGCCCATTTTTTGTGCTGAAAAAATCCCCCTCGGCTTATACTCGAGTCAGATTCCCCTCTGAAAAAAAAAATGGTGTGGAGTCGCGGCCTCCGGCGGCAGCGACTCCCAACAGCCCCAGCCGGGAAGGGAAAGGCAAAAAGCGTTTTGCCTTTCCCTTCCCGAGGCGGCGGGACTGGGGCCGCGCCGGCGGTAGTGACTCCTGACTCAGGGGGCCTCCGAGGGAGGGGAAGAGAGTGACTCCTGCCTCCCGCTGTCATCATCATCTTCTTCTTTTGGGTTAGTGAATCAATTAAACCTTTCATGATAGTGAGATTGTTTCCCAAATTAATTATTTTTATTTTTGAAATTTACCAGTAGCTGCTGCATTTCCCACCCTCGGCTTATACTCGAGTCAATAAGTTTTCCCAGTTTTTTGTGTAAAATTAGGTGCCTCGGCTTATATTCGGGTCGACTTATACTCGAGTATATACGGTAATATTGTTTGTGATGCATAAGAATACAAAATAACAGTTGGAAGGGACCCTGGAAGGGCTTCTAGTCTAGTCCAACCCCCTGCTCAAACAGGAGACACCCTACACCAGGGGTGTCAAACTGGCGGACTACTGGCCGGATACATCGCATGCAGGCCACCCAATTCCTCGAATGGGAAAAATACTGTGAAACGTCATGCGACGGCAACATGACGCCGTGAGTTTGACGCTCGTGCCCTATAGCCATGATGGCAAATCTATGGCGCGCATGCCACAGGTGGCACGCAGAGCCATTTTTGCAGGCACGTGAGCCCCAGTCAAACTTGCCTCACTGCGCATGCAGGCACCTCCCGGCTGATTTTTGCCTGTGTGAGGCCTTTTTTGGCCTCCCAGAGACTCGAGGAAAGCCTCTGCAGCCTTAGGAGGCCGAAAAACCGGCCCGTTTCATCACTTCCTGTATTTCCGGAAATACTGGAAGTGACAAAACGGGCCTGTTTTTTTGCCCTCCAAAAGCTGCAGCGGCTTCTCTCAAGTCTCTGAGAGGCCAAAAAAGGCCTCAAACAGGCTGAAAATCAGCTGGGAGGCAGTGCAGGTAAGGGGGCGGCAGGGGGGATCGTGCACGCATGCGCAGGGGGCGTGGCCCCTCCTCTGCGCGCATTGCCTTCCGGATGCTGGTGCGTCAGCATGCATGCAGTTTTTGGCACAGGAGCCCCAAAAGGTTAGCCACCACTGCCCGATACCATCTACGTGGTGGCACAGTGGTTGAAATGCAGTACTACAGGCTAGCTCACTGCTTACTCCTGGAGTTCAATCTTGATTGGCTAAATGTTGACCCAGCTTTCCATCCGTCAGTTAAAGGAGGACTCAGATTGTGGGGGGCAATGGGCTGACTAAGCTAGGGGGTGACATGATAGCGGTGTTTCAATATTTGGAACAGAAGTCACACCAGAGCAGGCCTCTCCGATGCCCCTCCCCTCCGAGAAGGTCTTCTTGTCCTGGCCTTAAACTGAGCTGAGGCTGCCCCAACCCCACTCCCCACTGAGGCAAAGCCAGCCCTTGCTAAGCAAGCCTCCCTCCCTTCTTCCCAAAGGCTTCCCAGCAACTGCGCTTCATCCGACAGTGGTCCACGTTCGGCAAAGCTTTGCAGAAATCGTCCAGGGAGCTGTTGGGCACCGGTTTGGCCTTTGCGATCCTGGCGTTGGCTTACACACAGCTCGGCTACCTGGTAATGGAGGAAACCCTGAAACGGGGAGGGGTGGGCTAAGGCAACACTGTCAGTAACTGGAGGGAGAGGAGAGCCCTTCCTCTCACCTGCCCTGGGGGAGCCCCTTCTCCTGGTTTGACCCCCGACTCCGGCCAGGAGCTTTTTTTTAAAACACCCTTAGCAAAAATGCTTGCCTTCCAGCCAGCTGGAGGGGAAATCAAGAGAGTCACTTTTCTAAACGTGGTTTCTTCAAGCTAGCTTTCCCAAGAGAGAGTTTGGGACACTGATCCCTCCCCCAGGCTCCCGGGTTCAGTTTCGGCAGTTTTATTTTTGGTGAATCAAGCTTGTTCTTAAATCTGTAAATAGAGATAAAAATCAACATTTTTTTTAAGGATATGAAGCCCATTTATCTGATTTTAACAGAAATAAGAGCTCTCTAGTCCATCTTTGAAACATCCCAGAAATGCTGGCTTTAAAAATAATATGCTGCCGCCATGAATAGAGATGCGTTACAGCATCGGTTTTATTTCCATGGTGGATTCCAAAGGATGCTTTTGTTCATTGACTCCCAGATCTTGGGGAGGGGGGCTCAGCCATTTGGGGCCAGGCTGGATGGAGTTACAGTGAGTGCAGATGGGCTGCTGCTCTCTGCAAGTGCTGGACTTGTCTGTCCAGGGTTCAAGGATCTTTGACGTCTTGGGCAGTGAGGAGGCTGGGAACCCACAAACCTGCCACCCCCCCCCCCCCCCCCCCCCCCCCCCGCCGCCCCCCCCCCCCCGCGGGGGGGGCCGCGCCCCCCCCCCCCCCCCCCCCCCCCCCCCCCCCGTGAGGCCATTTGGGCTTCCGCTCTGCAGGGAAGGAGAGTCCTGAGCTCCAGGCTGTCTTCCTGGATTCCCCTTCCCGGCTGACCAGCTTCCCTCTGTGCCTGCACAGCTCTTCTCCTCCACCTCCGGGGGCTTCTCCGGTTTCGGCCGGGGCATCCAGCTGTCCCTCACCGGTCTGCACAGCGGCAGGAGCCTCCCGGGACCTGCGGGGCTTCCCCACCTCATCTGGGCCAGCTACGTGGTGCTGCAGCTGTGGTGCCTTGCGCGGCTCTTCCCCGCCGTGCTCATCCGTTGTTACCATGAGACCCGCTTGGAGATGTACCGGCCGGCCTTCGAATCCCAGGACTACGAAATGGTGGAGCTTTTTCTCCGGAGGCTCAAGATGTGGATGGGATTCAGCAAAGCCAAGGAGGTGAGGGGGGGGGAAGGGGAGCCCGGGCCGTGTGTGTGTGTGTTTGTGTGTGTGTGTGAGCCTCTGGGGGCTGGCCGGTTCTCGGGCTCCTCTCGCTGCCCTGGCTAGTCTGGCAGGCCAAACCCAGCTCCAAAGGGAAAAGAGTTCCTCCCCTCAGGTGAGGCTCGAGTCCCGTCCCTTGGGCGACAGCAATTCTGCGGTCCGTCCGATGCGCAAGGGGCGTGACGGAGGGCTTCTTTCCTAGCCTTGGAGGAGGTGGAAGCCACGGAAGGGCTGTTCGCTCCTGGCTGCTTTTAGCAAAGCGATGGCCGGCTGGTGTGGCGTCCAGAAGGGCACCTGGCATTCTGCATCTGCAGGGACAGACGGCCAGGGATCACAGGGCGGCCCAACCGTACTAGTGAAGCCCCCCCCCCACCCATTTTAAGGGTCTTGCACGTGTGAGCCAGGCCCAAGGGACAGTGGTTTCTTCCATCGAGCCCTCACGGCTGCCACCTTGCCCTTTTTGGTATTACCACCACCCTGGATCTCCCCCCCCCCCCCCATATCATGCCTGGCCTTCCCTCAGTGATCGCACTCACGTTGTTGGATTCCACCCCCATCCCGCCCTTGTGAACTTGCGTGGAGACCAGGAGGATTTTAGGAAGTGGTGGAGGAGCTTAGAGGTGCCAAATTTTGTTTTGTTGCGAAGTGGACATATTTTTGTGCAATTTTTGAGTGGCTTAAAATTTTGTTTTATTGGTTTTGACTTAGACCCAATGGCACAAATGTGTGTATACGTGTCAGCAAAATCTGCTTGGGGACCAGAAGGCACTTCAAACCAGGGGTCCCCAAATTTGGCAACTTTTTTAAGACTCAACTCCCAGAATTTACCGGTCTTCTGGGAGTTGAAATCCACAAGTCTCAAAGCTGCCCAGGTTGGGAGGCCTCTGCCTTAAACCATGTTTTGGTAAGCAAACGAAAGGCACTTCAACCCTGGGCCATCCGGCAGGATCCTCCCCTCCCGACCTGTGCTCCCCGCCTCCTCTGGATGGGAAAGAGGGAAGGGTCTCTGCCCACAAGTGGAGACCCCACGGCTGGGCACTGGCTTCTTGCTTTGAGGAAGGGCAGAGGAGGGGCCTGCCTGCCCAGGAGCAACCTTGACCTCACGGCTTCTGGTCTGCTCCTTTTCCGCACAGGGCCAGACTGAGTGCAGATGCTGACAGCTGAAGGCAGAGACTCCAAAGGGGGCAAAAAGAGCCAGGAGACAAATGGGAGGTGGGGGATTTTTCTAAGCTTGATTTTTAAGGCTCTGCCTTTGGCCTCTTTACGTGGGGCTATAGTTCTGCCCCCATGCCATGTGCATTTCATCACCATTATGACTCACATCATTTTGCTGTTGGGGAAGCACAGATAGGAGGGTACTTAGGAGCCCCGTTGACTCTCCGGGGCTGTCGGGTGAGGCTGGGTCGAGTCCCAGTGCTGAGATAGCATTAGCAGCAGCACTTAGCCTTATATACCGCTTCACAGTGCTCTACAGCCAGCCCTCTCTAAGCGGTTTACAGAATCAGCCCCTGGGTCCTCATTTGACCCACCTCGGAAGGAGGGAAGGCTGAGTCAACCTGGAGCCTGGTCAGGATTGAACTGCTAGCAGTCGGCAG